GCAGCTTTTTAGCAAGCAACTTCTAAAAGGTTTCAATTAAACTTTAATCATTTTTTGCTTAGATCTTCATCATTTCCTTTTTCTAACGACAATTTTTAGAATCTTTTTTGTATAATATTATCGTAATTTTATTTTCGTATAACAATCATAATTTTATTTACTACTGTTATTTTCTCATTTTTTTGAAAAATTTTGAGTATAATCAAAAATGAGTCTACAAGAAAATATATTATTATTTTCCGTGTACAATAATTTTATAATAGGATTTCAATAAAATACTATACTCATCCAAACTAGACCTCTAATCTATCAAATTATTATTTAAATTTTCTATTGTGAAAAAATATTTCTTTCCCCAATAGTCTCACTGCATTGAGTGAAATTAATAATCTCTTCATGAAAAATATAAAAGGAGAAATGAAAAAATGATTCACTTCCTTATTGGTATACTTAATGAGACTTAGCTAATGCTATGGATTCATTAAAGATGATAAGATACATGATGTGACTTGTGAATGAGACTTTTTTCTTCTAGTCCATGTGTGACAATGCACCAATTGTTGTTAGACACCATAAGCTCTAAGATAATTAATAGAGAAACTCAATATTTTAATCTCTAATACAGTATTAAACCACATTACTTAGCCTTTATGCCTTTTATTTTTTTTCTCGTCATGGAACTTCAACATAGACCATACACTTCCTCACTATGAAGATTTCAAACCATTACTATTAACACGAAAAAAAAATACTCAATTATGCATATGGACTGATCAACTATGACTTCATTTGGGGCGTTTTCTTACTGTTTCTTACATTTTTTTTATAATTTTTACTAAAAAATTGTTTTAAACAGCAAACAAAAGATAGTTCATATTATCTCCCTATTTAATTTCTTCATGTAGCCAACAATTTAGTGTTGCATGCCCAAATATTAAAAAAAAGGCTAATTAATTAGCTTAGTCAATATTCTCAAATTATCTTTAATGATGATTATAAAAAATTGTTTTTGATAAGTAAGAGAAAAATTAAATTATCAAAATAATAGTTAAAATTCACGAATAAGAAAACTTAGTAAATTTTAGATCTCATCTTATCGCAATAATGAATTCATTAGGCTGCCACGTGAATAGATTATCTTTCGAAGGCCAACTAATCTTTCCAAATTCCTAGTCTAATCTGTCTAACGAACCAACAGCACAAATAATTAATGAGAAAATGACCTCTCTCCTAAGTTTTTCCGAGGATTGCAACCCAATTGACATTGTCAGATGCATTCAATATAAATTTAAAGTAATTTTTATTAAAAGGCATAAACTATATATACAAATTACGTTCTAAGGCTAATTGATAGCATCTTGAATAAAATATATTTAAAAAATTTATTTCATTAAATATGCCAACTTAATATGGGGGCTGCTTTGGTTCGGATTATCTTTAGGGTGTACAAATATTTCAAATACAGGGAGTTTTTTATAATTTTGATATTTTGTTGGAATAAAAAATGATGTAAGTTAAGCATAGTAGCTAATGTAATTGTAGAAGTTAAATTTTTTGAGTGTAACACTTATCTGATTTTGAGTGGAAATATTTACCACTTCAGTTTGATTGAACGCTGCTCACGCAAGTCACCCCCGCACTTCCAACCCGCTTGTGTAAATTAGAGTTTACAACTCTGAAGACTACCTCATTAATTCGCCCTATGGTTCTTAGACCCCCCACCTCTTGCAGTCTAGCAGCCACTGCCGTCGGCTAGCCATCCACACGCAAGCTGTCGACCACCTCTGCAACTCGTCGGTCGCCTCTTGCCCCCGATGCCTACCCCGCTACCCGCTACCTCTCTCGCGGCCACTGCCACCTTCCGCAGCTTGCCACCAAGGGCGGATCTCCTAAACCCTAAAATAATTTTGATTTTTTTTTTTTTTTTTTTTTTTGTGGGGAGGGGATTTTAGGCCAATTAAGACAAAATCACGCACATCACATACGTAAGAATCAAAACTCAATACCTCTTAGTTGGTAGTACAAGCTCCTAACGAACAAATCAAGATGAGTTGTGTATACATTTAAAAAAACTCATTCATATGCATTTACTATTTCATCTAAATGTGACAATAAATATCCTTAAACATATATTTTTTATTCAACCAACAAACACCCGTAATATATTTACTTTAATAAATAAAAATATATCATTAGCTCTGTTGAAGACTCAACATTTTAAAGGAGCAACGACTGAGCGTTCCTTATGTGGCTTTCATATTTAATTTCTTTGGGTTTGAACAAAAACAACAAGCAAAAGTCTAATGATTCGAGGATCGTAGTCAATACAGTTAGCAAATCAATGTGATATGACTTCTCGGTATGTTCCTCCGCGAACTTAGAATTGGTAGGTGTTGAGCTGATAAGAAGTACAAAAAAATCAATATTAAAATTTAATATGCCGACTCGCTCGAACAGGACTTATGCATGGCATAAATAGTTACCTTAGTTCAAACGATCTACTCATCTAAACTTTTTTCTAATAGAGCTCGATGTAACACGATATTAATATGGACAGCATGATGAAGATATGAATATCATGGCGTTTTTGAATTCATAAAAGCAACGGTAAAAATAGAGGTATAACACTTTTTTTTAGAGGCGGGCAAATTTTCTAATATAAAAATAAATAAATACTTATATCTATATATTACATTAGCATATATCTCGACACGGCTTTCTCTTCCAAACTAAGGGCGTTAAGGACTCAAGCTAGAGTTGGTCAAATGCTTTAAAGTAGGCAACAAAAATAATAAATTTATGGGGCAAAAGTCGAAACTACCCCTACTCTATACATTTCTACAAATAGAGCCTTAAAAATAGGTAGGAAAGACACGATTGTAAAGCTATATGAAGAAAGAAACTTTTTTGGAAGCTGCTGTAAAAAGTAGCTTATCATCATAAAGGAATTTATTGAAAGTAATGAAATGCTAGTAGTGGTCAAACAAAACTATTGTGTACTGATGAAAGTAAAACACCGCAACAAACAAACAAGTAAATAAAAACAGTGGAAATCGTCGGAAATATCGGCCAAAATCTACAAGAAAATCCGTCGGTATTTTCATTGGACTTATTTCCACCAAAAACCATACCGTTCTCCATATCCTGCGATATTCTGGATCACTAACATCCTCAAATCCGGTACAGATGTGATTAATTACGATAAATACTAATATATAATATTAATTGGGCATGATCAGAGAGGCAGTTTAATTGGAACTATAAGAGATTCACAATTCTTCCTTTTGACAGACCTTAACTACTTATTTTCCAGGCCATACTTGATACTTCCTACAGGTGGGGAATCACCTTCAAATCCATCGCTGTAGTATTGAAAAGAGCAGTTAAATGAATAGAAGTAAAGAAAACGATATTTTAAAATATTTTATTTTAATTTCATTATTATTATTATTATTTAATAAACCACTTAATGTGCCGTTGAACAAATGTCGAGTCGGATCTGACAGTTTCTCTTCTTCGAAACCGTCAAGAAGCTTAAAAATAGTTGTCTGTTCTCGCCAGATAGAGCTACGTACTCCGAGAAAACTTGAAATAGGCATACCTAAAAGGACGTAGGAAGGAAGAGTAAAGAATACGTAAAAAAATATACGCTCATGCAGTAAGTACGTGGACGACCTCTGGCTTTCTCCACAGCTATTATTTGGCACTTGCGACGTCCAACTAATACCAACGTGCCCCTCTCATACAATTCAAACCTTATAGTTAAGCTGATTATTCTACTACATTTATCAATTACATATATACCACATATATGCAATAAGTTCCTACTTAAGGTCTATTTGAAATAATCTTAATTGTTTATAAAGATGATCATAAATATATTAAGGAGAATATAGCTTTTTTAAAAAATATTGTAGGAAGCAGTTTCATAGCATAAATTTTTTTTAAAAAATAGTAAAAATTAATGGCTAATCAGAAACTATGATTGCAATATAAAAAGTAAGGCAACAAAAAATTAAGCTATCACAAACGAAATCTTAAATATAAACTTTGGTTTTGCACTCTTCATTCATTTATTGCACCAACAACTACCTCCACCTCTATTAATTAATGAAATCTACACCTTGCAATTATGGAAATTCTTGAAAAAATAAAATCCAATCATGTTCTAATTGTTTGAGAAAGAGAATGCATATCAAAGATTTTTTTTTTTAGTGTGAAAGTCAAGAAAAACATCATATGCTTGAAATTTTATGTGTTCCCACACATACCATATATTGTAGCTACGCAATTTAGGCTTCGTTTGATACAATTTTTTTATTGCTTCTTAAAACAGAGTCTTGGCACAAAAATTTTAATTTTTGACTATGTTTCAAAAAGCAATAAAAAAGTCGTCCCAAACGAAACCTTAATATTATGCTTAATGATAGAGATAAAGATTGATGATTAGCTAAACCACATAATATAAAATATATACATATTGTTAAATATGAGTGTTGCATATTGCTGAATTTTTACTATACATGTGAATTTAAAAAACAGTAGTACGTGAGTCATTATGTATTATTTTCGTATTTTATGATAAGTATTATAAGGTTGTTTTGATCACAATTTTCTTTGATGTGATGATATATTTTGTTATGTAATGTGCTTTATTATGCAGTATGAACAATGATGATAGGTTAAATCAAAATAATATAAATAGAAATAAAATTAGAAGCTATGAAGCTTCACATAGTAATGATGAAATATAAAAATTAGTATTTAATAATTATTAAATTATTTGAGTAGCACATTTAAAAATAAATGATTTGATTTAATTATTTATGTTATATTTTTAAATTAAAATTTGTTTTTTAGGACAAGTTCGTTTTTTTTTATTTATGAATATGTTTGGGATGGGTCCCACAGATATCCCGTACATATCAGAAGCTGCTGCCCTTGGAGAACTATTTATATGTGTAGTTGAAAAAATGAAAAACACCCAACTGTATCCAGTAACCATGCGCTGCTTATAAGCTCCATGTTTCTCAATAACCGTAGACGAAGAAGAAGTTGAACAGAGCTTAATCCTCAGGCCATAACAACCAAACGCAGAAATGATTAAAACAGAAGGGGAGGATATGAAAAGCGCAGCGATGGTGGAGATAGAGGCCAGTAAACCAGTAGGGAACGGTAAAGCGCATGCAGGTCTAAGCCCTTTGAGCGAGACACTATGGAGAGAGAAAACGTACACAGAACTACTCGGTGACGTATCTGCAAGGCTGACATGGAAAGAGCTTACAGTTAAAGTGGCGCTAGGCAGCGGCGAAACGCAGTGCGTGCTCGATGGTCTGACTGGTTTCGCCGAGTCCGGTAGCCTCACTGCAGTTATGGGCCCTTCCGGCTCCGGCAAATCCACCCTCCTCGACGCGCTTTCCAGCCGCCTAGCTTCAAATGCCTTCCTGTCCGGCACCATTCTCCTCAACGGTCGCAAGATCAAGCTATCCTTCGGCACTGCAGTACGTAATTAATTACTCTCATTCTCTGTTATTTTAATTCCCATGCGTAATCGAAACAGAGAAGGATTAAGTTACAGTTTTGTTATTCTACAGGCGTATGTGACGCAAGATGACAACTTGATTGGGACTTTGACTGTGAGAGAGACTATAATGTACTCAGCAATGCTGAGGCTGCCGGATGAGATGGGGAAGGAGGAGAAGCGGGCGTTGGTGGAGGGGACGATAGTTGAGATGGGTCTACAAGACTGCGCTGACACAGTGATTGGGAACTGGCATCTCAGGGGAATAAGTGGAGGAGAGAAAAGAAGGGTGAGCATTGCTATAGAGATTCTGATGAGGCCTCGGCTTCTGTTCCTTGATGAGCCTACGAGCGGTCTTGATAGGTATAATTAGCCTCTGCTCTTCAGTTCTATTATAAATTGTGCTCTGTTTTCGGCTTAATGAATTGGTTTGCAGTGCTTCGGCTTTCTTCGTGACGCAAACACTGAGGGATTTGTCAAGACGAGGAAGGACAGTAATGGCTTCGATTCACCAGCCGAGCAGCGAGGTCTACGAGCTCTTTGATCAGCTCTACTTGCTTTCAGGAGGCAAAACTGTTTATTTTGGAAAGGCTTCGGAGGCATGTGAGGTATGATGAGAGTAATTTGAAGAGGACGTACGAGACTAATTAATATGCATTTGATTTGTTGGAAATATTATTTGATTTGAGCGAAGTATTGTTGAATCTGTTTGTCTATGCCTTGCAGTTTTTTGCTCAAGCTGGATTCCCTTGCCCGTCTATGAGAAACCCTTCTGATCATTTTCTGAGGTGCATAAACTCGGATTTTGACAAGGTTGAAGCTGCCATCAGAGGATCTTTGAAAACAGGGGTAGGTGCCTGTATTATGATTAAAAAAATTATTATTTAATATATAATACTTAATTTATATATATATAAATATATTAATTTGGGGGATCTGCATGTAAATACCTCTAATGCAAAGTACTTAGAATATTCTTTCTTCGTAGAAGAGCTTCGTACAGAATTTTTTTTGTGCGATGGGATATTTTTTTAATGAAAAGAATTGGCACCAGGTTTTTTTTTTTTTTTTTTTGGAAAAAACGGGAAATTAGTATTTTTTTTTTTTTGGGAAATACAGGTAATTTTTTTAATATAAACTCTTTATATACAAAATTAAAATTAAAATAAAATCAATAATATTTAAATTTATCATGATGCAATTTGTGTCTCATGCAATCAGAAAAAAATTGCATGGCTTATTGGCGCGCTACACAGCTGCATGAAAAACTAACCATCCTTTGCTCTATTGTAGAGTGATGATCCTCAAGAGAAAATAACAGCAGCAGAAACAACTCGAAGACTGACCGACTTCTATCGCCATTCTCAATATAGCTACTCAGCAAGAGAGAAAGTAGACAAAATTTCTCGAGTTGTGAGTACTTTACTAACCCAAATTATTCTTCGATGCAAATAAGCTCAATTTGGCCAACCTAAAACAAACAAATTTTGTATATTTTGGTCACAGCAAGGAACAATTTTAGATTCTGGAGGTAGCCAAGCCAGCTTCTTCATGCAGTCTTATGTTCTAACAAAAAGATCGTTTGTGAACATGTCAAGAGATTTGGGTTATTACTGGATGAGACTTGCTGTTTATTTGGTTGTCACCGTTTGTATTGGAACAATCTACTTGAACGTTGGAACTAGTTACAACTCAATCCTGGTATATATATATATTATACTCACACTCAATATTGCAATATTTTTATTTCCTTAACACTAATTTTCTGATTTTCACGCATATAAAACAGGCAAGGGGTGCTTGTGCTGCTTTTGTTTTTGGATTCCTCACCTTCATGTCTGTAGGAGGATTTCCTTCCTTTGTTGAAGATATGAAGGTATGCTACGATTCATGGAATGAGTATATTTTAGCTAATATGGGTTACTAAGTTAAAGTAGTATATTGGGGCGGATCTAACCTTAATTTTTAAGGGGGGTATGGTTTTTTTTTTCCATAAATATTCTTACAATCAAAATTTGTTTCGAGGGCGCTGTCTCTCGACCCCTATTTGTTCATCTTTGTATGCTTCACATATATAACGGGGGTCTAAGGGGGCAGCGCCCGCTGCCCCCCTGGTGGGGTTCGACTTGCCCGGTCAAGTCGTGGGGTCAAGGGACAATGCCCGGGGTCTAAGGGGGCAGCGGGGGTTCGACTTGCCCGGTCAAGTCGTGGGGTCAAGGGGCAATGCCCCTGCGAAGGTTTCCGAGTCCAGCGCCCCCTGAACAAATTTTGGTTGTAAGAATATTTTTGAATTCTCTTTACTATTTATCTATGTATTTGGTTCATCGTTCTCAATTAATAACATCTCTACACAATGTGTTTAATTATGTTGGGGCAATTGTCTAATACTATAATATTTTAAAACTTTTAGGGAGGCAATTGCTTAAAAACTTTTATAATAAAGACTAAAAAATATATGGAGAGAATAAATTAACTAAATAATTATATAATTTTTTTATTTTTTTTTTAGGAGGGGTAATTGCCCACCCTGGCATTAAGGTGGATCTGCCCATGATTGTATAATTTATATTTGATGGATTATTTATTTCATTTTTGAAGGTTTTCCACAGAGAGAGGCTCAATGGGCATTATGGAGTTGCAGCTTTTGTCATCGGCAATACGCTTTCTGCAATGCCATTTCTCATCTCTATATCCTTTCTCTCGGGGACCTTATGCTACTTCATGGTTCGTCTTCATGCAGGATTTTCGCATTATCTGTTCTTTGTAATATGTCTGTATTCGAGTGTCACTGTGGTTGAGAGCTTGATGATGGCCATAGCTAGTGTGGTTCCTAACTTTCTGATGGGGATCATTGTAGGAGCAGGGATTCAGGTAATTTTGTGTTATTTTTTTTTTATTAAATAACTTCATTGATTACATTATTTAGTAGCTAGAGTTGATAATTTTAGGAAAGAAAATTGGCTGAGAATATTCGGATCAATTTTTTTTTTAAAAAAAATAGCTTTCAAAATCATTAAATTTATTTCAGAAGAGTAATATAAATTTTGATTAATTTGTCATATTTTGCATTTATTTTAAAGAAAATCAAATAACTATCAGCCTCATTATAATCAAAATTTGATCGGATCGATCGATATTCTAACAAAAAAAATTTCTATTAATGATTTTGAAAGTCTCTTCTCCCTTAGTATATTAAGTCTATTTAATTAAATATTAATACAAATACACCACTAATGCAAAACAATGCAGGATAAAAATATAAGTCTAATATTTCAATATATTATGGGCCATATTCATTGAGTCAAGCCCGCTTAATCTTGCTCTATGTCTTGCATGAGGCATGAGCCACAGCCCCCCATGTACGAACAATTATTACGTCCTCCGACCGGACGTAGAGAAAACGTCTGGTCGGAGGCCAAATCGCGCCAAAAAATAAGAAATACCGAGCAAATACCAAGCAATACCAAACAATAACGAGGAATACCATCACATGACAATACCGAGTTATATCGAGCTATACCGAGCAATACTGAGTTATACAAAAGTTGTACCGAGTTTTTCCTAGAAAAAACTCGGTACAACTCGGTATAGCTCGGTTTAACTCGGTATTGGTCTTCACAGAGCGGTATTCCTCGTTATTATCAAATAATACCTAGCAATACCGAGCAAATACCGAGTTTTTTGGCTGGATTTTGCCTCCGACCGGCGTTCCTCTACGTCCTTACACAGGACCTAATAAAAGTTCCCCATGTACGGTCATCGCCACCCACCCACCGCCGCCCTCCGACGCCCCTACCTCCAGCCACCTTCGGCCGCCGTCTTCGGCCACCACCATTGGCTGCTGCCTCCGACCACCATAGTCACCGCTATTCACTTTACATTACAATCACGTTACTTCAATAAACAAATAATAATAATATCATCCTAAACCTTATACATTCATTCAAATAAAAAAAAATCTTTACACTTTTTTTTACACTATATTTCTTTTACACTATTTTTTTTAAAGGCAATCATTTTCACCCTTACAATCATATAGTAAAAATGATAATTAATTTTCTATAAGAATGACAAATGAATTTATTGCTGTCCCCCCATCTGTTTAAGTTCTTTGATGCATTCAGCTTCATCATTATTAGATCAGTACATTACTGCACATGTTTTTACATGCAACATATTTCATGGAGTTGAAGTTGACAGATGTAATCGACTGCATTTATTATGGAGTTTCCTGCCAAAATTTCTGCTATCAATGAACAAACTATCTGCCATACCCAGCCCCTCTTTGGTACATTTATAACATTCTTTATGAAGCATTTATATTCTATCTTATTTTAGTACAATATGTGCAAGGGTTGATACACCCATTCAATATTTGATTTTCTATCAATCATTTATTGGAAGCTTAAAAAGCTTACTGAAATGACCCCATCGGATTTAGTTGGGTTGGTGGGCGAGTATGATTGGGAACCCTCAACTCATGTTCGATTCCCCTCTCATGCTGCGAGACCTCTTAAGTAGAGAGAAAATAACTGTATGTCTTGTACCTGTGGGGCTGATTGCTGGTAAGTTCGCTGAGAGATTAGTTGCTCCATCAAATATCTCTAATTAGGTGACAATGGATAGATATCCCGTTCTAAAAAAAAAAAGAAGCTTAAATGCATGTATTTCATGCTAGGTAGGGGTGTAAGCCAGCCAAGCTGGCTCATGAGCCGACTCAAACTCGACTCGCTAACCTGCTGGTGAGTCGAGTTTATCGAGTTTCAAGTTCGAGCTAAAGCATGTAATCGAGCTCGTTTACTAAACGAGCATGCGTTCAAAGTCAATCCGATTCAACTCGTTAGCACGTCGAGCTACTCAGATTTTAAAATATATTTTAAAATTTTTAATTTGACCTTTTTTAAAGAATTTTTTATGATAAAAAAACTGGTATTCATAAATGAGTTGAGTTCAAACTTTTCAATAGAGCCAAGCTCTAGCTTTTTAAATGAGCTTGAGTAATCGAGGTGAGTTGGAGCTTGATTTTTAAATAGCAGGTCGACTTCTAGCCCCTTAAACTAGCTCGAGCTCTAGCTCAAGAGCTCAGCTTCATAATGCCATTACTTGACTCATTTACACCCGCGATTGCCTGCAGGATACTTATTGGATTTATTTTCTGTTAATTTGATCACTTTTTGCTCCAAACTAAACATCAAATACTAACATCTCACACTTCCTCAATGAGACAGGGGATCTTCATGCTTGTTTCTGGTTACTTCAGGCTCCCAAATGACATTCCAAAGCCTGTCTGGAGATATCCAATGTCATACATCAGCTTCCATTACTGGGCTCTTCAGGTCTCTTTTTAATTAGAAAATTTATTCATTTCTTATAAATGATTCATCAGCAAATGATGAAATTAATCAATCTTTAAAAATTTTAAATGAATTAATGTAGTATTAGATTCTTCTTTCAAGTATTTAATTTAATCCCTGGGATCAATAAATCCTCCTTCAACATCTTTAACCCTTTCGTCTTCCTCAATATAGGGCCAGTTTCAAAACGACTTCAAAGGACTTCTTTTCGACAGCCAAAGCCCATACGACTTGAAGATCCCAGGAGAATACATACTTGAACAAATCTTTCAGATCGACGTGCAAAGATCAAAATGGTGGGACCTCGCCGTGCTCTTCGGCATGATCATCTCCTACCGATTCATCTTCTTCATCATGATCAAGGTCAGTGAGAGCGTAATGCCATGGATCAAAGGATACATTGCGAGGAGAAGATTGCATAAGAAAAAAGGCACCAAGACTTTGGAAGAATTAATAGAACGAACGCCATCTTTTAGAGGTTATGAGCTCAAGCCAGTGGTTGCAGGTTCTTCGAGCTTAGTATAGGAAAGCACAACTCAATACCGCTTGTTGTATAAAGCTGCATTATTACTACTGAATATTTTTACGTAGTCTTCTTGTTGGTTTAAGGTTTCGTTTGGGACGATTTTTTTACTGTTTCTTAAAACGATTTTTTAGTATAAAAATTAAAATTTTTATACAAAAAAATTGCTTTAAGAATCAGTAAAAAAGTCATCTCAAACGAAACCTAAATCTCAATAACAATTTTATGATGAAGGTTAAGCATGCATACTCATCGAATGTATGTATGGTGTTATGGTGCACAAATCTTTAAAAAAAAATGGTGCAGAAATGATAGTATAGGCTAAATTATAGTCTGAAATATTATGACTTATTCGGTTAAGTTAATTGAACAATTAAGGAATTTGGTTAAGAAAGTTGCAAATTTAAGCTTTTTATTTTTTGAATTTGAACTAGATAGACCAATTGAGACAATTGAATTGACAATTGATTGTCTCTACCCATTTCCAAATTTCCTCTCCCATATTTATTTACTTTCCAAAGCTTTTCCCTTTCATGGAGAGAGCAACTGAGAGGGAGGGAGCCAAAGAGAGGAAATGGGATTTTGGAGGAAGTGGAGTTTGAATCTATAGATATAGCTTATGGGAACATTATTTTTCAAAATTAGATTTAAGTATTTCTCATTACTCACATGTTTTTTGATAGGATTTACATGCTTTGATATATGTATTGAGATTTTGATGATTTTTCATCTGATTTCGTTGATAAAATAAGTGTATTTTTACTCATTTGATATTCCTATGCATGCTCAGCTAATATTGGCAATAAGCTTTTAATTTTTATATGTTTCTATGCTCTCTAATGATGTGAATGAAGGTGTGATTATCATTGATCACGTTCTATAAATCCAGTAGGTGACGCATGAGACATCTAGCACACCTTTATGTAATAAATATATATATATACTACATGCTTTATGCATACCTGATCTTAAGATTGTGCTGTGACACCTCATATTTATATTACTTATATTTCATAATGTATTATATGATTTATATCAATGTAACATGTTATATGTCATGATTGCATGTAAGGTGTAATGCATCTTATGATCTTATATGAGTTTATCGATGGTTAAAAGAAAGTGAGTTAACCTGGGCATACTATTATATAGTGTTTGACATGGTGCAACAAAGTGTTTGCGATGAAGTGATGCCACAACTTTTAAGTGTTGTGGAAATGAATACAAGAAACACTTGAACACTAGTTGAAAAGTAGCATGCTAATCATCACAAACTCGTCAAAGGATGATTATCACTCTTAACCTCTCCAAAGAAAGAAAAATAAACCTCATCAAAAGATGGTTATCACTAGGGGTATAAATGAGTTGAGTCAAGCTCAAGTCACAACAAATTTGAGCTCACCTCACCAATAAGAAAAGTGGCTAAAACTTGAGCTCTAGCTTGATCAGTTGAGCCCATCGAGTGAGCTCAAGCTCAACTAGCCCATCTATTCCCAAGCTCAATATATCAACTTAAGAGACAGTCGTGACGGAGGCTCACTGGAGAAGGATCAATCAGCACAAAGAAGGAAGTCGCGGCGAGTTCTCACTAGAGAAGACATTAATGAGACTAGTGGTCGAACTTTGGGGAAGAAAAAAAAAGTTACGATGTGAATTTGCTGGAGTGAAGTGACTAGTTATTTTTAAGAAGGGGTGTATGTGATAGCTGCAAGCAAGTGAATATTTTTTTTATTTAAATTAAGAATAAAATTACAAGCAAGTGAATAATTGATAGTAAATAGAAATAAAAAACTCTGAAATGTTGTAACTACATTATAGCATAGAAATGCCTTTTGAGAGGCTGTGATAATAAATGTATTGTTGGAGGAGGATGAGGAGTAAACACCACAATGACGACACAAACAATAAAGTAAAAGCAGCGGAAAAGTAAAGAACACGATAATTTATCATGAAAAAACTCAAAATAGGGGAAAAAAAACCACAAAAATTGGGAGAAATTAGTACAGGTCTCTCTTCTCTCTCACTCTCTTTTTGCTTCTCTTCTCTCTCACTCTCTTTTTGCTTCTCTTCTCATATGCACAGTTTTCAATGTCTACACACTCAAAATACAAGAAAAAGTCAAGTAAAATAACTCCAAGGGATGCAACCCTTCAGAAAAACGAGAAAGAAAACCGTTCATTTAGTCTCGCAGCGCTGTTGCGCTATGCTCTCTGTCATTCAGTGCTAGGTCGCTCGGGAACACAACATCGGGGCGCTGCAGAGTCAGCGTCAGGGCATTGTACGAGGAAAAAAAAAAGTTCAAGCCCCCCCCCCCCCCCCCACCACAAACACAATCGTACATGACAAGCTTTGAGGTCCGAGACAACAAAATAACCAAATTGATCAACACAATCAGATTCCACACATAACATGTATATGGGAGAGTAAAGTGATAGCTATATGTTTTGTGAATAGTTACTTATATTAAGAATGAGGATTGTATTGTATCACTTGATTTGTTAATAGAGAACAACAGAGATTAAACCATCGATTATTAGTGGCTGATCATACTTGGCATGAGAAAGGTAATGACATGTTTATTATTTTTATGAGCAATGTTGATATTCAAGAATAATCTGAAGCTATGTGATCCTAAATATCTACCTGAATCGGCTAGCTCACAAACAGAAGAATTCAGCGGCATCAAGTTCAAACTCAAGCTCATTTGATAAGCAAGCTTGAGTATGAGTTTGTGCTCGAGCTTGTGGCTCAATAAGCTTAACTCATAAGCTCGTTAACAATTTGAGTTCAAGCAGACTCGATTCACTTACACCTCTTATTATCACCAAAGAAAGATTGACAAACTAGACATCAAACCAAATTTGAATGAAAAGATATCAATCTCATTTGTATTTCAAAATGTATATTTATATGATTTATATCATAAAAAATGAGTTGTGGGGATAAAAAAGACATAATATTATATAAATATTAAAGTCATAATTTAATGAAATATACATAACTTCTTAAGCTTTGCCTTTTTGTTTTCTCATCTTCCATCATTTCAAGCCATGACCATGGGTGATATCCAAACTTGTAATTTCACTCTCCTCCTTCCTCTTTGGCTGAGCATTCCCACTTTCATCTCTTCACCTTAGTCGATGGATTCCATCTCCACTTCACAAGTCTCCACTTCACAAGATATACAGCCAAACATGTGGATTTCTACCTCATTCAAAGGACACTCATCCCTTGACCCCAACACTTTATAAGGGGTGAGGTAAAGGCGTTAAGCTTCTTTCATCATATGTATGAAAATAATTATAGAGAACCAAAATTTATAAATCTAAGAAAACTGTTAAGTATGCATAGAATCATAGATCCGAGATAATTTCAAAGGACCAAAAGTTAGAAATCCTAGAAAACTACGGGAAAAAATAGACCAAGGAAGTCCATGTTGACATCTAAGGAGCAATTGACCTTATAGCTTTTTTAAAATGGAATTTTACATTCCAATTTTTTGGAATATCTGAAATAATGCTGGATTCTTTTGATGTCTAAAAATAGAGAAGTAATTGTATAACAAAAAAAAACTCAATTTGATCATGTCAAATATTAACACGAATTTTATATCTCAAAACACCCAAGTATTTAAACTTAAGAACTTTCATAATTAACCGAGAGACCATATGAACTCGATTGTTAGCAAATTTAATGTCCAAATGAAAGGCTTCATGAAGCAAACTCAATGTTATTAACAACCCATAGATTGAAGTCTGAATGGACCAAACCCATGCATCAAAACTTCAATGATTATTTGAATTTGTGCCTTGATAAACTTAACTTGTGAACTCGTTAGTGAATCGATTCAAGTCGGCTCCTGAGTTGATTTGGCTCATATACACCCCTATTCCACAGTCGATGTTGCCGCCTCCACCAACACCCAATGTTGCCACTATCGTCGACGCCCAACTTAAACACCATCTACAATTTCTATCATTGATGCTAACATTAACAGTTGTTGACCACAATCATGAATCACCACCAACACTCGATGTCATCACTACACTCGATGTCCAACAACCCCACAAAAATGACACTTGATATCACAACCAAGATCAAAGTCCATCGTCGACAGCCGACACCAAATTTATCACTCACCATGCCCCAAAGATCGACGCTTATCTTTATCAATAACCCCAACATTTATTGCCATTAATATCTGGCACCTGTCATCGATATCAACACTAATGTATATTGTAACCAATAAGGTAAATACTCATCGCTGCCATCAAGACTGACGTATACCATTATAAAAAACTCTAATATATGTTATCACCAACAAATATGATGCCCAACAATATCTACACGGATAATGTTCATTGTCTATACCAATATTGACATTTTTCATCACCACAAAGGATGACACCCATCGTCCACAACAACAAAAACGTCATGAGGTGTGCATTGTTCGAAGAAAATCTAAAATATCAAATCGAACCAATCTTATTTACTTCGTTCGGCTTGATTGGGTTGTTAAAGTATGAATTTGATTAGTAGTTTTTTTTTTTTTTGTGAAATTGATCAAACCAAAACTAAATTATACTAATGTTTTCAAATATCAAATCAATAAATTTCATGAATTATAAATAAATAAGTGAAAAAAAAAAATCAACATTGATATTATTAATTATACATTTTGAAATTATAAATTTTGGGAAATATTATTTGGCATTCATCTTGATACATATTATTTAAATTTAAAGACAAATAGGTTCATTACTAAAACTATTTATACTTTGATTCATCCAAATTAAATCAAACTAAACTAAACTTTGGTTGGTTTTGTTCGGATTGGAAAATAGTTTGATCAGTTCAATTTTCTCAATTTTACAACCAAAACTAAAAGGTTTTGCTAATTTGCAAACTAAACCATCCAAACATACCAAATGTGCACTCCTACCAATGTTCGTCGTCTCCAAAAAGCTTGACATTATTCATCATCAACAACATTCATATATATTTTCGCAAGTAAGGCCAACACTCATATTAAACACAAAACCCAACACCCATTTATGCATATCATCACCAACAAGGCTGGCATTTTTTGTCAATACCAATATTGATGTCTATTATTGCCATCAAGGCTAACGCGAGTCATCTTCTATAACCCTAATAATTATTATCAACATCAATGTCCACAATCTTCGTCTTAACTAGGCTGACATTAGTCATTGTAAATAACCTAAACGGTCATTGTTCATGCAAAACATTGATGCCCATTATCAACACCTGCCACCAAAAATGTCGACGTTTGTTGTTGCCACTAGGTTGGAACCCCAATCATCTAAAAACTTGAAGAACACTATCACCACCAAGGCAGTGCCATCACCACCATCATGATGTAAAATATTACTATCATAAATAATGTCAAACGCAATCACCAAGGCCAACACTCATCATCATCAATAATGTTAACAATCATTCTTGCAAATAAGGCCAACAACAATCATCACCACTAACACTGACTACTTACTCCACTCATCATTGCAAAGTTTAGCACTCATTGTCATCAACACCAATACTCACTAGCCATCGCCATCATTGTTGATGCCAGTAAACTCCACTATCACATACATCCGAAATTGCCACAAAAATTAATGCCTATCATCCTAGTCGCCAGTCTTCCCTCCTTGAAGGAAAATGATTCATTTGTAATATACTACTTACAAAAGTGGAATTATTTCGACCAAGTCAAGCCCAGTGGAAAATTTTACACCTACTATGAAGTGCTTTCAACTTATCTATTTATGTACAAGATTTTCATTCAATATGAAATTATCAAAATTTAGCTTAAATCATCAAAACTATCAAAAATTAAAAGTGCCAAGACACATTTAAACCTACAATAACTCAACCAAATACACATCCTACAAATTACAATACATTATATTTAAGATTTCCAAACTTATCAAAAATTAATAATTCTTAAAAAAAACAATATATTTTAATAATTATAAAATAAGAAAAACCAAACTCCAAAACTAAGAAAATCAATGAAATCGTTACTGTAAAAATGAGAACAAAATAAAAAAAATAAAAAAAATAAAAAAAGAATGTAAAGGCCATGCTTTCAACGAACCCAATTCAAAACTTGTTTTTTTATTAGGTTTTAATAAATATTAGCAGCTGAAGAGGTATAATATTGGTTATGGACAAAAAAAAAGGTTGATACCAACCGTTAGGGTGCATTCAAACTCCATTTGATTGTGCCCAATAAATCAAATATTTGTGACTTCTACCAATTTCATATATATATATATATATATAAAAGAGAGTGCCCTCAATCTAAAAGCATTTGCAATGAAGCACACAAAGTAATTGTAAAAAAGAACATCAAAATTCACATTATTCAGCTAAAATAACCACCAATATTAAAAAATCAAAATTAAATCTTATTCAAGATAGTTAATAAAATTAAACCGCACATTTAACAAGACAAAGCTCTAGGGTCATATTTATGCCATCTCCTATTTTTGGCACCAGCAGAACTTCAATCTTGATTTGAAACAAATGATTTTTTTTAACACCTAAATCTTTGAAAATCCTCTTATTCCCTCCATTAGATACCATTGGTGCAACAATTATAGTCTGTGATTATGAAAATAATTGAATATTCTTCATTTGAATGTCCACGGTAGTTCTTATTTATACTATGATTTGCTTTTTTAAGAGAATTTGCTTTGCAAGTGCATCTATTTACAATAAAATCACCAACATCCAGAAGATCACAACAAAACCACAACTTCATTCTCAATGATTTGTTAAACTCTTAATTATTAGTAGACTGTATCACACACAAATACAGAAATTTATGAAATTTAACTGCTTGGGGGTTATTTTTATAAATAAGGAAATTTTTATTGCATTAATAAATCTTCCTTCTTTTTTGTTAAGTACATGAGATACCAGTGAAATTCTGTTATTAAATTAGTTTTGTTGCGATCTTCCCTTGAACCATGAAACCATTCCATAATGCCAGAACACAAATAGGTACATCAATCTCTCCTAATTTCCATGTTGTCTGACCTTTATGCATAGTATAAACTTTTGTTTCTATGAAAGCTAAAGGGAAACATCCTAACTTCTGGGTTGAGACAATCTGCTACGAAACATATTAAGACTTAATTTGGGACGGCTTTCATACTGCTTCTTAAAACAGCTTTCTAGTATAAAAGTTAATTTTTTGTACTTGAAAGCTGCTTTAAGAAGCAATAAAAAAGCCGTCTCAAACGAAGCCTAAGACTAATGCTTCGTATGATACATTTTTTTTACCACTTTCTAAAATAGCTTTCAAATAAAAAATTTTCTAGTTCAAAAAACTTTTGTACTAAAAAATTACTTTAGAAAGTAGCAAGAAAATCATCCTAAAAGAAACCTAAATCAGCACATTGAGATTCGATCAAGGGTGTAATGCATAGTAAAGGCATAATAAACAACACTTGACTAGTTTTGTACCTATTACCAACACAGCACAGTTGCTTTAGACTTTGATAATTAGTATTTATGTTTTATTTTCTCAGTTTGAACCTGTATCGAGAACTGGAAGCCTGCAGTGGAAGCTAATCGATTTATCCGTCAACCTTGTACCAGGGATGAAGAACTGGAATATCACTGTCAAGCAAACACCCTGTGGAGATATGCCTGCAATTTAAACAGTTATGACTGTAAGCAAACCACAACCCAAAGCCAACATTACAAGGAGCAGCTAATTATAAAAGGATCTCACCATAGAAGGCACAATCAGGTTTGGCTAGATGACACTGCAAGCTCTTAGCTAGGTGCTTTAAGCTCACTTGCTGCCAGATTCATAAAGCAACAACACAAGAATAGAAGAGTAAGCCAGTGGCCATGGAAAGAAGAGCAAGAATGCAAGAACAAGCAATCAGATACCACAGAGAGTGCTTCTCCTCTCTGAATTGCCATTTCTGTCCGGGTTGGTGCACTGAGGTTTTGATCACCAGAGGGAGCATCAGCTGCAGGATTTAACTAAATTATTAATCAATCTTCAGGTGGAGGAAATTTTTAATGAACCACTCAAATAAGAAAGGGTTAAAATTTTTACCTTGAATCCCAAGTACCTTGAGCTTTCGAAACTCAGACCCAACTGTAATAAGGGAGGTAGAAACCTGAAGATGGAGGTCGCCATACTGAGTAATGGCCAACATCAACAACTCGCCTACGTTTTTTAGTCGTTCCACCAAGTTCTGCAACTGTGAGAGATCTGGGACTTGAACCAAAGTCTGTCAAAAGCACAAAAAGAAACCTTCAGACCCTTTAACTGTTTGATTCTTGAATAAATTAATGCCATGTAATGCTTAGTCGTCCTAAAGATGATTTGGAAGGATTATTGCACTTCGGAAATATTCCACACAAATCAAATGGATTTTTAAAACTTGTTGCTCGATCTAATCCTACACATAATCAGGCAAATAAAATAATAGTTATATGTCAAGGGTGTAGTCCTCAGTAGAAGTTTTTGCCACAACTCAGCAAATTTATTAAGAAATGGGAAAGATTTGTACCATTAGATGGGGGTGCCGCTTGCAGAGCTATCACTGAACAGAATCATTAACTCTAAGGATCAATTTGTTTGGATATATGGATTTAGTTGTTGGAGAAATTTTTTCATCATCAACGGATTACATATTTTGTGATCGAGCATGGCATAAAAAAAAGATATATTTTCCCGAAGGCCAAAAATACCATTTTCCTATAAACTCAATCATGGGCGGATCCCCCATGTGCTTAGGGTGGGCAAATGCCCACCCTAAAAAAATATTAAATATTACCCCCCCCCCCCCCCCCCCCCCCCCCCCCCCCCCTTTTTAAAATATTTTTTTGCTCTAATTTTATCAATCTATCTTCTTTGCCCATCCCCCAGAAAATTTTTTTTTTGCACACCCAGAAAAAAAAAGAAGCTGGATCCGCCCCTGGTCTCAATAACAAAATTTATAATTTTACTTTTCAATATAGATTTTTCCCCCATTCAATATTTGGTTAAATGAGGTTTAATTTCTTATGGGGCATGGTTAATTATATCTTAAGCATTTGATATTTGAGAAAACTTTTGATTAAACTAATGGTTTTCTTTCTTTTGAAAATCATCAAAATATTGACTGAAGATTTTTATTTTGAAGTATATAAAATTCTTATTCAAAGATTTTGATCTTTAGGAATTTTAAAGGAGGAGATCAAAAGCTAAAGGAATGAAGTGTAGAAGTAATTGATTATGAGGGAAACATAGAGGTACTCAAACTATTACATGTTGGGCTTTATATTTTATAATCGAATTTTGTTAAATTGATAATTTTATATTTTAAATGTTGAGGTTTATATTCCAACAACACATGTTGGAAAAAATATCTAGAAGGTAAGGGCTTATGAGGTGATTGAAATCAATCACTGTCTTGAATCCTAGAACTAAGATGAGAACTACTGATGGATAGTGCCTCGAACCTAAGTCTAACGAAGTGCAAAGAAATTTATAAACTATACCTCACTAAAGGCATAGTCAGCCCGACCTCTGGATTTATTGCTATACATGAAAAAAGCTACCAGCTAAACCCACTTAATCGATTTTAAAATCATGAACTCCAGTCTCAATGCATATGAAAAGTGAAGAGGTTATTTTGTTTAGAAAATAGGGCTTACAACTAAGTTTTGAGGCCAAGATGCCTGACCATGAAGGACATATAAAATGCTGACTCTGAAATACAAAATACTGGCCAGCTCCTCAAATTTCCCCCAAATGGGAGAGACACTGGGACGCTCCTGAAATTTCAACTGATAGAGGACCTGTATTTAAACATATGCGCAAGGGACTTGTATGAACAATAGGGGACTTGATGGACTAAGTGGTGTGTTTGTAACTTATCAATGGAAGCATAATGCATCTCATGTCATTATTGCTACGGATAAGGACGGAGCCTACATTAGAACAATGGAGTATCTCATGGTTACGTCGGATGAAAACGCTACAATTCACCTGTAAGCAAAAGCAGGAAATCAGTAGTAAAAATCACGAGCCACAGAAGCGCAATGCCACCAAATTTGCAACACTCATACAAGCGAACAGAAGACGTTCAGAGATTCCTGAATAAATTTGGTGTGTTTATTAACAATGGTTGTTTGCATAGTTGATAATCACAAAATACCCCTTTGTACTGCATGCAAATATTTTACAATGCCCCTCATATATGCATTGAAACATGCGTGGTGCATTTAATTGTAACAAATGCATTGTATTTACATGCTAATATGTTGCATACACGTGTCGTAACTTACAAAATACGGGCATGTCACTCCGACATCGTTGTTGCATTTCAAAGTGACCTCTGGCATGCATTTGCAAGATGTTGAGGATTTCATTCTAGAATGTCGTTTGACATTGCTATTGTATCACAAAATAACCTCTTACATGTATCGTTGGGATGCAGAGAGTTTCATTCAAGTGTGTCATTTGACATTATAATCATAATTTAAAATGACATCTTTTATGCATTAGCAGGATGCATGGGTTTCATTCAAGCATGTCATTTAACATCGCATTTACATTCCAAAGTATTTTCCCATAAGCATTTGCAATATGCATAGGGCTTCATTCCAACAATATCATTCATACATATAACAATCATATAAATGCATCATACAAAATGCATTCAATAGTATATACTCGCATAGACCCGTCGTTGACGTGCGAAGCCATGATGCGGGACATCTGAATGCGGGATTTTCGGGATTTTGCGATCGTGTGAGTCGGCGTCGGACGAGTAAGTGAGATTAGTGATTTTTTTTTTTTTTATTTCGTATTACAGGTCAACACTAAGTCTCCAATAACTCAAAACTTACTAATCTCACAAACCGCTTTGAATCATATCTCATAAAGTTTCCCAAGAGACATACCCATTAGCCAGCATGCAAAGAGTTACACCAGAATAACTAATAAAGCGTATTCACCTGAAACCAAAAACACATTAAAAATTACCTCCTATAACATAATAATCATTAAGATAAGCCCACTACACAGCCATCTACACCGACTACAATTATATACTCTTCATATTTTCTCATATAGCTCTTCATGTACCACTGATCTTAACTCTCACCTATAAATAACGTGCCAAAGCTTTGATGTGGTAACGATTTCATCAAGTAGATCTCTTAGCTCTATCTCACAACATGGGCTGGGCTAAACCTTTCTCAAAGTGGTCAACCAGGTCTCTTATGAACCAAAAATCACAAAAGAAAATCTTTAAACTTAACCCTTAAAATCAATCTACAACTACACTACTCTCATGGACAATGTTGATTCCAACATCCTCTAAGATGTGTTGAGGACAGAGATGGCTAAGAAAAATAATTCAGTTGCAAAAATCTTCTACTATTCTCGTAGAACGCTCCTCTTATGTAGCTCCTCAAAAGTATGGATCAATCACCTATCCCATCTACTTGTCGCCGCTCCCATCTACTGTCGCCACTCACTCAACATTATCAAAATAGTCATTTTGGCTTATCATGTGATATAGGATGGTAATCTATTCGAAGATTTGCAACCCATTTGAGGGATATCAATCACGATATAATAAAAAATCTTATTCTGCTTTACAACCAAAAAAGATAGGCGAGTGGAACTCAATGCTAATTGTTTATCAATGAAGGCATTTCTATCCTCGCTTCAATCAATGAAATAATACCTATAAGATTATCCACAAATACTGTTGGAGTACTTAATCACATGATGGAAACAATTGTTTCCTCAACAATTTCTCTAGTCGCTTCCTTTTGATTGGATGTTAGTTTCTTCCCATATTTACCACTTATTTATTTCATTGGTTTAGTTTAATTTTCTTCAAAGGATGAACTTAAGAAAATGTAGCGCTCCTAGCCATCACCACTGCATGTCGTTGAATCTCTAAGTCTCTTCAATAATATAACAAATATCCTAAAGTTGGGGAGAATATCAATTATCCATATCTTACAAGATCATAAATCATAGGAACAAAACAACATTAGAAGAACAGTTATTAAAAAAATGATGAAATTGTAGCTTTCAAAGTGAATCAGCTTGTGGCTCCCCATCACATAATCATGCTCTTTAGCCCTAGCCAAGCTATTGTTTTTGTAAGCACTCTTTATCAAATAAAAATTTGAGCTATACCCTAACTTTCCCTCAAAAAGGATATTGTAGCTTAAGTATGAAAAGGAATGAAGCTGGTCCTAAAACTTCAATTATGACTGCCTACACAAATCTACATAATCAGGAAATCAGAAAAAATGGACCTGAGGGAGATCCTGAGCAGCATCAAGAGCAGTTTGAAGCTGAACAACATCAGCTCGAGAGAGGGGTTTTGAGATAGGAACATCTTGAACAACGGCGGACCTTAGTCCCTTGGTCTCAAATGTAAGGAATGGCGCCGGGTTGAGGGATCCAACGGGGAGCTTCTTGACCAGCTTGATCTGAATAGCAGCAGTGTCATCTTGAGACTGGAGCTGGATTGTCTGCGCACTGCGGAGCGCCCGATGGAGAAGGGCGACGTCAATAGCGAAAGCTATGCGGTCCTCGTTCTGGCTGGAGATGCGGTAGTCGTTGAAAAGGACTTCCTTTTTGAACTGGGCTACCGACTGAATGCCATCTCCACCGAGGAGATTGTGGAGAAATATGGCGTGGTCGCGGGTGAGGTAGAGATGGCACACACGCCCGATTTTGTCGAGGGAAGGCAAGAAACCTGAAAAGAGATGTGGATGTTAGGTGTTTGTTGAAATGCGCAAGCTAGAGAGAGAAGGAGGTTACGCTTGTCGAGTAGATTGACGCCGTCCTGAGTGAGGAAAGCTTTGAACTTCATCTGATTCGATCGGTCGTTGAAGCTTAGACAGATATTGGGCAATCTTTGCGCGATAGAGAAAGACGAGTTTGAAGTGGTGGTTAATCTTTTGTCTCGTGTTTTCCCGCGTTAGACAACGCCAGGGGATGTTTGGTGGCACAGTAATAGGACTTCGGCATCTCCCGTAGAAAATCCTATTTTTCACTCCAAGATACAGTAAAATAAAAAAATAGTTTGATTCATCTCCAATCGAATTTCATTTTACATCATTTTGTATTATTTAACCGTGTTTATCCTTTTTCTCGTGTTTCTTCAACAACTCTGATAGAGATAGAAAAATAAAACAGGTGAACAGTGCAACGTCAATATTATCGTCGCACTGTTCACCCGCAACCAAATGCCTGAAGTTTTGTGGTTCGGCTGGAGCTCGCGAGGAACACAATTCATGCGTTTGGAGTTCGATTGGAGAAGGCCTTAAGGAGGGTTTTAGTAAATATCATAAATTCAAATTTATTAAATTTTATGTGAATTAAATTTTAAAAATTATTTGATATGATAGCTGTTAAATTCACATAAAGTATTTGATTATTTATTTTAGTATTTGAAGAATTTATATGATTTTATTTTGCTAATACCAACCTTGATTAGGATAACTAAATGATATTTTTCTAATTAAACATATCTAATAATAATTAATTAGTTCCAAGATTTGCTAAGCAAAACAAGATTTTGACTCCAAATTGCTCTTAATGTAAATGTTATTTTTATTCTCCTATATTCTAATAAATCTAATTGAGTTAAATAAGACCATTTATAAAACAAGACTTAACTTCAATAGAATTTTGATTTAGATGGCAAAAAAAAATTATGTACGAAGCAGATCTAATTACATACATGATTTTCAGTTTGTTTTCAAATTGTTGGATTTCAGCTTGAAAAGAGAATTTTGACTTTTATAATTGTTAGGGAATGTGCTCTAAAATAATAATATTATAATATATTTTCAATTTGTTTTCAAAAAATATTAAGCATGTAATATACTGATTTGATACTGATATAAAATATTTTAACAGTATGTGTACACTCCTAAATGATTATACTATATTGATATAATTTCAACAATTTTAATAATACCTCGATGTTAGCCCTTTATATTATTTCTCTATTGATTAATAGTACTGATACGAAAAATGTTTTAGTGATTTGGCACACGTACTGATTTACAGATTTCTCCATTGTATTGTTTTACTGGCTTCCATTCCGCATCAATTTATTAGTTATAGACATTACTGCTACTGTATGTGTGTTTTATTATTTCTGCATTGATTCATGATCGTATTAATACTACTATTATGATTTGACTGATGACATGCATATTGCTCCTTTATTATATTTTTGGTTTAGTTGTAAGTTTTAGTTACTTATTGGGCTCTTGAGCTCATTATATGTGTTTAAAATATTTCATGTGGGGTAAAAGGAGCAGGAGTGTGAAAATAATTAGGATCTTTAATGTTCAGGTTCTTGTTATTTTAGTTATTCTTTTGTACTCAATATTAAATAGTTGTTGTAATCGACCACCAATAATTGGCCCTTGAGTAGTTTCCTTATTCATTCCTAGGATCAAATTAACGGTTTGCCCTCCCGCCTATGGTGGCTCTGTAACTGCTCCCACCAATCGGCTGCCCCTTCCTTAAGCTTGTATACCACAAGCTTGACCTCTTTGTCGTTGGGAAGGTCCATATATTTGAAGAGCGATTCCATGGATTTGATCCAACCCAAGCACTCTTCAATATGCGTACGACCATTAAAGATTGGAATATCAAATGAAGCTTATATTCTTAATTAGGGGTGTCAATGAATTTTTGGGTCAGATTTGGGTCAAACCCGAAACTGATCCACCTTCAACTAGCCCGACCCTCTAACCCGGTTGAAGGCGAGTGGTTGAGCGAGCGTGCTGCACAGGTGGTCGAGCTGGCGAGCGGAGCGGGTGACTCAGTGCATAAGCAGTCGAACGAACAAGCAGGTGAGCAAGCATATGAGATCTGGCAGGCAAGCAAACTTTGTGACGATTGGGCAAGTGGGCTAGCTGTGACGATCGGGCGAGTGGGCTAGCTTGAGTTGCTCGAGCAACGAGTGGGATGAGCACGACGAGCACAACCCAAGGATGAGCGCGACAAGTTCAAGTGAAGGACGAGTTTCAGGTTGCTTTTAGGTTTTTGGGTTGATCCGAATCTGATCCGAAATTACAATCGGGCAAAAGGTGAAACCTGAACCTGACCCATTTTCCAAATGGGTTGATCCAGACCTAAAATTTTTAGGTCAGATTTTCATTTTGTGTCAAATATTGACACTCCTAGTCTTGATTTTGATGTTGTTGAGGATAGTCACGTGGGCTACACGGATTCTAGGGTCCTTTGCAGGCCTATTTTCACCCTCATTGTTGGAGTCAGAGATGTACCTATCAGAGTTAGGGGATCAAGTAGGGACTTCACCTTGGTAAATCCTTCTCTGGGGTCACTCCTCTCCAGTTGCAGTTGCCGTTCATTTCAGTTTTGAGGATGGAGACCCTGTGGGTGTTCATCCAATGCCTGGAGCATCATTTGAGGTAGCATGAACATTCAATATTCTGCCCTGCTTTTTCCTTTTAGATTGCATATGTAGTAAAGAAACTAAAGGAAAATAACCACCTCTGCTGAGGCAGCCGGTGGAGCAGACAGTGGTAACTTTAAAAAAAACTGTGAAAGAAATGTAAAGGTATATATATGAACCATAGCTTGGTATTATATATATTAAGAATAGTTAATAGCAGGTGATTAAAACTGCGGTTCGGATCCTGAGGTGTAGCAAACCGAGCCTTGTTTCATTGTATATTTCTAGTTCTGTGCTTAGCCAAGTCTGATATAAAGATAACGTTCATCACCTTTTGGGTCATTTTCTGACGCTCTTGTAGTACACCAAGTTCTCGTTGGACTGGTGGCTGTATAGTGATACGGATGTCATTAACTAGTATATGATACCATTTAAGAACATTTTTTTCATTATACGTAGTTCTTGCATTTTCTTTTAACAGGTGTTTGAATTTTATTATTTTTGTACAAATTTGTGAATATGTGGACAATTCTTTGATTAGTGTTATCAAACAGTTTATTCCAGGCAGTTCATCAGAAGTGCTAATCACATCTGCTGACTCACGAATCCGGGTCATTGATGGTAACAATCTTGTATACAAGTTCAAAGGTAATTTCTTTCTTTTATGCTTCAAGATTAATTTTCATAGCCTTGTATCATAACTTTGTGTAAATCTATAAAGTCAAAGAATATCATTATGTTGATTTATTATAATATACGCGATGAAAAGGTCTTGATTTCAAAGAGGAAGCAGTAGTGTGGATTGTTTGTGTTCATTGTGATTCTATAGGGTTTCGAATGTTGGACATTAAAGATGTCAGCAAATGAAAATATTAAAAACGGATGTGATGTAAAATCTAAAATGGTGGTGAAAAATATGATTATAGAGAGAGGGTGGAACTAGCACTTTTGATGCAGAGTATTTTAGCTTAAAATGTTTCTTGGACGTATATTATCTAGTTTGTTACAAATTTTTCTAGAACCTTCTTAGTAGCTTATATAAGTAAGATATTGTAAGGAGATGATCATTGAATGAATATTATCTCCTTTTTAAAGCTTTAAAGTTTTGTGTTTGTGATTGTTTCCTGGATTGGGAAATCTCTTCTTGCAGGTCCGATTCTTCCGACGATCCCCACATCAACTTTCTTATGATAACTTAGTAGAAAATGGAATCAAGTGACTTTATCATATAAAATGAAGGGAAAAAGATACACCAATAAGGTTATTATAATTAATCTGCAAGGAAGAGGAAAAAAAAGGTTAAGGGCAAAAGTTGACCTAACTTGAAATTATGTAGAATGACTTGGTTAAACTAGAGCTAACACCTAGCATTCAACATGACCGAATTGGGAAGTTGGATTCAGATGCTTGTCCCAAATAGTTGGGATATGATCAGTAAAGATGATGATGATGATAGATTGATTTTTTTTTTTCTTTTGTGAATTAATTGAATATTTGAATGCTTGCTTCGAATGTGATGCTAGAATTTGTCATCTTGGCAAAAGATAAAATCCTAATTTTTTTCCTGCGGAATGTTCATAAAAAAATATCCATTTTCTTCCTTCTTCCAGGGTTTCGCAACACAAGCAGTCAAATTTGTGCCTACCCAACAACAACTGGCAAGCATGTAATCTGTGCTAGTGAGGACTCTAATGTGTACATATGGAGATATGATGCTGATACACGTCCAAGTAGAAGCAATAGTGTCTCTCAGTCCTACGAACATTTTCACTGTCTGGGTGTCACAGTAGCAGTTCCCTGGCCTAACGCTAGCTCGAGGCTGGAAGGAATTTCTTTGTCGTTAGAAGTCAAAGAAGATAATTGCATTTGTATATCAAACCGTAAGAATAACTCAGACATGATTGTGGAGGCCAGTGGTCAATATAGTTCCCTTTCCCCAGAATTTAGGTACATTGACCTAAACACCAGGTCTGGACCCTTTGGTGACAGGGTATCAGGTACTTGGCCTAAAGAAAAGCTGAATTCTTCCTCTGGCAAGAATAGTGCTCATAGCAGTGGTGATCTTTCCAATGGGGATTCGGTGCTGCAGAGCAGATTGGCTTGGGGAATGGTAATTGTAACTGCGAGCCGAGGAGGTGTGATCAGAATATACCAAAATTATGGATTACCTGTTCGTGTATGATCTCGGCTACTCGACATCAGCCTTTTATTTCAATGGCAATACCTCCTATCTGCTTACTCTGCCAGTGGTGTATTTGGATATATGAAGTGGTTTTGGTTGATCCAAAATTCAACTAATTTATAAGAACCATTAAGTCAGCTAAATCACTCGATTCATTGGAACTTAGAACTTCTAGATATGCTGTGTACGCTATAGAGCATGGTGGAGGCCGATTTGAATTTGATGCTGCTCTAGCCTGCGCGTTGAGAAACTATTTATTCTGCACTGTTGGGGTAACATTTTTTTTTCTTTAGGGTTTTGTTCTTTGACATAACCCATTTACATTTCTTCTTATATATATTTTTTCTCAAGTAAGAGGGCTAAATAGAAATCATTGTATAGCCTTAAAAGGTGTAGTGGAGCTTAGCCAAGTCGTTGCTTAATTGCTTTTGTGCTAAGGTTTTTCTGGGAAGTGAGAGAGAGAGTGAGAGGAATATAAACGAGCAAGGTCATAAAAGAAAAAAATGTTCACAAAATTGAAATCTTCCAGAGAAAGATGCAGGGCAAAAGAAAGAAACCCTGCGCGTGGTGCTCTAGTGGCTTGTATTTTTTAGATTGGTGAACTCTAAAAATTTCAATATTTGAAGTCCTTGTCCAGAAAGATTTTCTTAAATGATATTTATGCCGTAAGCCACGCAGCATCATATCGGTCCCACCAGTACACTTGTCATCCGGTCAAGCCATGCCACCGGACTCGCCCACCTGCATATCGCCGCAATGGCACTTAACCAGGGGGCCAGTAGATGGTGGACTGATTGCTGACGTGGTTGAGGAATGAGGATATTCTAATCCTCCACTTGCCAATTTTTCGCCCAATATTAAAAAAAATATCACGGGTTGTAGAAGAAAAGATCCACCCCCATAAAGCACCCAAATCTTCATGCCTCATAATTTCGGCGCTGACAGCACACAGGGCATAATTTAGTAATTTCGTTTGCGCGGTAGGGAGGCATTGGGGCAGAAATATCGCACGAGAAGAAATCCGAACGGCGAGATCTTAGTGGAGGAAGCCTCGCAGACGTGGAGAAATGTGGGGCCAACATCTATCTTAACTTATCTAGTATCCACCCTTGTCAAACCTGTGTATAAAGCTTCGCTTTTCCCAGTTTCCCCTAAAGAGCTAATCGGCAAATTTATAAAGCTTCGCTGTTCCGCCGCATCCGCTCCTCAATTAGTCCTCCATGGCACTCCAGGCCTCCTCTTTCCTCCCATCCGCTCTCTCCGCACATAAAGAGGTTGGAGACTTTTTTTCGTCCTTATAAGTTTGTGTCCATCTGCTTATTTTTCTGCATCTATTAACAATTATCTGGCTTGGTGCAGGGGAAGGCCAATGGTGGACTCAAGGACTCGGCTTTTTTGGGAGTTAATCTCTCTGAGCACCGGATGAAGTCCAGCTTCAGTTCACCTCTGCTTACAAGTGGCAAGGTAAGTAGCATGCTAGATTGTATGCTTGAGTATATACTTTCTGAGAGATTATTACCTGAATTTTGTGGGGGTACACAGTAAATGCATACTAAATATATAGTGTTTGGGAACACTGTATTTACTGTTTATTTGCTGCATACTTCACAATCCGAACGGTCCGGACTTTGCTAATAATTTCTCCTATTTTCTAGGGTTGATAGCTACAGGAAATTTCATATAAATAGAATATAGTTTGCTGAAACTATGTTTGATGTGCTATTCTTGATATTTTATCTCACTGTTTCCCTGCTGTGGATGGGGCATTTGACCTGTTGGTTTTCACTTCTGAGCTATCTGTACACTTTTGTTGGGGTTTCCTTTTTTTCTGTTTTTTTCCCTCCCAGTTGGCTGCATCAACTTGGGCTCCTGATTCAGCTTGCCCATTTCGCAAGTTTAAATATCATTTTAGCACGCCCTGCGCGAATGCATCATCATGCTGCACTATTTTTTTAGGTTAAATATCAAGCTGCACTCCCACTTAAATGTTGAGTATACAATGTTATTATTGGCAAATTAAGCCAATTTGATAATATATCTGTTCTTTTAAACCTCATTCAGAATATTTCACCATTGGGTACACCTAATTTAGCATGAACGAATTCAATGCATTTTTTTTTTTAGTAACGGGTATTAATAGTACGATTAATGCTTTCATAACCCTCTTTGGTCCTAGAGGTGTCAGATATTTGACCCAGAAAAATTTTGCTCAAATCTTTGTAAAATTTGGCCCAAGTTTATGTCAACTTTAAGTGTCCTGAAAAACTATGCTTTGTTCGGGTTGGATGCTGATCGGGTCAACCTTAAAACCAAACATTATATTTAATATTTATAGCAATTTGGTTATTGTTGGTGTGTACATATTTGATTGTTGTGTCAAATCTATGTCCAAGTGACATTAATCAAGCACAACATAAGCATTTATCATGTCTGGCACTGCCGAGTTAAGGTTTTATCAATTTAAATTTGATTTGAGTTCAATACCCTAGTCATTTAGCTTTACTGCATTTGGGTCGAATTCAGAACTAACTCATCAACCCAAATTCCCTATTTGGTTCACAATCCTCACTGTACCAAGCATTTTGTGTGCAGAAGCGCCCTCTGCGCAGAACAAATTTAAGGTGTTATTAGCCTTTGCAGAGTAGAATTGGAGTCTTGTGCGAGCCAAATTTGTTGGGAGAAGCCATTGATCTTGGATTTTGCTTTGTTCTAGATTTTCCGTGTTTCTATGCATTGTTTTTAGTGTTGTTGGAGTTATTTGAATACAAATATATACAAATAATTCAAATCATCACAAATAAACACGATCATAGCCCAAATTGAGCCTTGGGGATGCTGCGGCTTACAGTGATATTTTAATTGAATTCATTTACTTTTCAATAATCTGAGAAATTTTTTCTAAAATTAAGTCAACATAAATTGGTAGTTCATTTACAAAATCAAAACTCAAAAATATACATTTTTCTATTCTTCTTCTTATTTAACCATTATTTTTTGTTGACAATCAAACAAACACCTTAAATTCACCATGCTACTTGCCAGTTTATAGTACCCTGACATTCAAATTGGCTCTCTTTGATGGTTTCAGCGCCTAAACGCATCGACCATTATCAGAGCACAGACGGCAGCAACAGCCTCCCCAGCCATCAACAAGGCCTCGCCTGAAGCCAAGAAAACGCTGAGAAAGGGAAATGTCGTGATCACAGGAGCCTCATCCGGCCTAGGCCTTGCCACCGCCAAGTCACTGGCAGAGACCGGCAAGTGGAATGTCGTGATGGCCTGCCGTGACTTCCTCAAGGCCGAGAAGGCTGCAAAATCAGCCGGCATGGCGAAGGAGAACTACAGCATCATGCACCTCGACCTAGCCTCCCTCGACAGCGTGCGTCAGTTTGTACGCAATTTCCGGCAGTCTGGAATGCCGCTTGACACATTGGTTTGCAATGCTGCTGTCTACTTCCCCACGGCCGGTGAGCCCACCTACACTGCCGAAGGCTTCGAGATGAGTGTGGGGGTCAATCATATCGGCCATTTCTTGCTTGCACGAGAGCTGCTCGAGGATATGAAGCAGTCTGATTATCCCTCTCGACGCCTGATCATTGTTGGCTCCATCACAGGTATGCTTTTGCAGGTTGGAGAAGTTTTAAGTCACAATTCTCAAGTCTTATAAGCCTCAAGTTAAGTTCTTAACCTGATCAATTTTTAATGAAGTCTCTTTACTATTAATCATTAATTTATTTATTATTTGTTGATTGAAGTTTGAATAATTACACTTTTATTCTCCTAAATCATAATTAACAATTGAATTAGGCTTGTTGTCATATCAGGATCATTAGTTTATCCTGACTATTGGAGTGGGTTTAGGAATCCATTGACGTCTTTCATTCTACTGATTAGACTAATAATTCTAAAAAGTGATCTAAAATGGATATAAGTTTGGCAAGATACATCATTGATTGAATCTATTGTTAACTAAAAAATTTAACCTTTTATATCAAAATGTTTTTCAATATGGGTAAAAGTTGGACTAATAAATTAATAACCATATCTATATCAATCCCAAAAATTTAAACCTATAGATGAAAATCAATCATTTAATATTTTTATAATATCATATTTTTCCAATAATTTGATATCAGACTTATTTGCGTGTTGGATCTTCGTGCAACGCTAAGACACTAAACTATCCGAAAATTGGGCCTGGACAAGACTAAACGATTAACTCATCTTACCATGAAGCTCATATCAGACAGAATTTGACAAACTTAACCCACAAAATTTTTATGATCAGATATAAATATTTAATATTTAAATTCAATGTAATATAAGTTTAGATAAGTGCTAGCTTCTTCATTATGAAATCTGATAAGACTGAGAGTGGCTGGCAATGGTGTGCAGGAAACACAAACACACTGGCCGGCAACATTCCACCAAAGGCCAACCTTGGAGATCTTCGAGGGCTTGCAGGCGGGCTAAATGAGACGACAGGGTCGGCGATGATTGACGGTGGCAAGTTTGACGGAGCTAAGGCTTACAAGGACAGCAAAGTTTGTAACATGCTGACAATGCAGGAATTCCACAGGCGATATCATGAGGACACAGGCATAAGCTTCGCTTCCCTCTACCCTGGCTGCATTGCCACAACCGGCCTCTTCAGAGAACACATTGGTCTCTTCCGCACCCTCTTCCCTCCTTTCCAGAAATATATCACCAAAGGCTTCGTCTCTGAAGAAGAAGCAGGCAATAGGCTGGCACAGGTACAATTTAGCTTCTTAGAATTTTGCCCTTCTTTAATAAGAATAGAAAGGCTAAAATCACACAACATTCCTATTCAGATAATATTGAATCAAACAAGCAAATTCTTAGGGCATCTCCAACCTAAAATCTCTCACTCCAAAATGCCGTGAAACTAAAAAATGTCGCGAGTCATCTCTAATCGAATGTCATTTTACCCCGTAACGGTCGTTCGTAAGTTTCTTCGGCAAGTTCGATAGAAACAAAAAAAAATGACGAAGATGAACAGCGCGACGCCAATATTGGCGTCGCACTGTTCATCCGCAATGAAATGGCGTAAGAATTGCCGTTCGATTGGAGCGACGGAAGAATGACAAACAGTTGTTGTCGTTCCATTGGAGATGCTCTTAGTTGTCATTTGCTAACTAATCTTGCTTTGGGGGTGGATTTCAGGTGGTTAGTGATCCGAGCTTGACCAAGTCTGGTGTGTACTGGAGCTGGAACAAGAACTCTGCGTCATTTGAGAACCAGCTCTCGCAGGAGGCAAGTGATGTGGAAAAGGCTCGAAAGGTGTGGGAGATGACCGAGAAGCTGCTCGGACTAGCTTGATGGCTGTTGCTTTTCGTCGCTGATATCTTTGCTGTTTCTTTAGCTTGCTTCTAGTTTAGTGGTGTGAATCGTGTAGTCATCAATGGCGAGTGAGGCCAGAACCTGTTGTAGCTGCTGCAGCAGCATTTTGTGAATTTTGTTATGGTAGTATTAGGTGTACTAGAGAATAAAAAGGAGTGCAAGCATCTATATTTCCCAGGCATAACAAAGATGCCATTTTTCCTTAACCAGTTTTTGTTGGAAAGATTTTAAAATCTTGTCACATGGTATCTAAAAGTTTAATTTATGTGTTTAATTGGTTCACTTTGCTTCAATATATATTTATAGAAAATAATGAAGTTTTCTATAGTTGAAAAATGAAATATTTTTATTTTGGCATATCGGACACTAAATGAAGATATTTTTATAACTTTTAAGATAAAATAATAAGGTTTGAAGGTATTTGCATGAAATATGAAAAACAAGATAATAATAGACACTCTTATTGATTTGGGCCATGTTAATCAAGTTATTGTGAGAACTTAAAATAGGTTCAATAAATTATTGATTGTTAACTAGTCTGATTGTTTTATAAATTAGAACTCGTCAATTTTGCCCAAAGCTTTGGGATTGCACATATACAAAGTTAAATATTGTAGAACTTGCTCAGCGTTGTTCTGAATTGCATTAAGAAGCTGAATTCAGCCATCAGAAGCATTCGTTGGAAGAACTAGTCATCTTCCCTATAATACTTATTGATTGACTGAAGGTTCTTGCTTGAAGAATTTGTAAGTATTTGCTTGTAGTTTATTTGTGGTACCAAAGTTTAGAGCTAACTTCAGGCTTAATTGCTCCACCTTATCGACGAGTATACTCGGTTCAACTTAATTTCTATTTTATATAATTTTATTATATGATATATTATATGCGGCCGATAAATAACTGGTCAAGGCATGATCAGGAGCAGCTTATGAAAAAATCCCATAAAAATTCATAGAAATCTCTCTCTCTCTCTATATGTGCATCTCTCAGAGAATCGTTTCTTTGTAATTAGAATTTGCTTGTAGCTTTGATTCTATTTATATTTCTAGAATAATTATGAATACAACATTCTATTTAGTGTGATGAATAGCTCAACATGAAGGTCCATAAGTAATAATCCTACCCTCGATCAATGGAATATCCTCAAAGATTATATCAACGCATCTATTCCCTTAGCAAAATTCTTTCTAGCTTCAACATCCTCCTTTGAAATCACCTTACCTAGCTTAGAATCCAACTTCTCTTTATTTTTTTCCCTTTCCAAAATCCACATTTTTTCAATGATTATTTTTTCAATGACATTGCTTGAAGCCATTACTAAATTTCTTGTCAATTATGGAATTCGCTTGATATTTTTCATCTCTAAAAGAAACGAGCTTTGAGACAATTATCAACAAAAAGCATGATAATTAAGGCATAAATGGAGAAATCTGGAAATAAAGTGCATACCTTGAATATAAAACATTGAGGATGATGTGACTGAAATGTGTTGAGAATGTTCAGGGAATTCATCATTGTTTTCTTGCAATTAGATTTATTTAATCTTTTATTTTATTGTCTTTTTTGGATTATCCAAATAGATATAAGAATCACATACCTAATACACAGTAATATTAATTTATCATACTAATCAAGTTATATGAGAACCTAATTTAGGTTTATGAAGTAGCTTGAAGTTTATTGGAAGATCGAGGCAAAGCTGCAGCCGAAGAATCGCGGACTATCGATTCACTCTGGACAAACCAGGAAAACATCCATCGCCGACTTGACGACCTCGCTGCCGACGTTCAGCGATTGACGGTAGAGATCCGCCGCGAGTTCAATCTCCTCCGGGCGCGTCCTCCTCTACCCCGCATTCCCAGACCAGAACCCCAAGCTAGAACGACCAGACTGTTGCGAAGAAGGGAAAGACAATGGCATCGCGATCAGGCGTTGATACCGGAAATGTCGGATTCGGAAGAGGAGTTTCAACCATATCGAGGTATTCCATTAGCGGCATCGGGTGAAGACGATTCGGGTAATTCTTTTGTGCCTGAATTTCGTGAACAGCATAGACAGAGACCTTATCATCACAATGAGTTCAAAGTTAAACTTGATATACCATTTTTTGACGGACATTTACATATCGAGGATTATCTCGACTGGGAAAAGGCTGTCGAAAATTTCTTTGATTATATGGAAATCGATCCTAACAAGCAGGTGAAGTATGTTGCTTGTAGGTTGAAAGGAGGAGCCAGTGCTTGGTGGGCGCAGACTCTTCAGTTGAGACAGCGTGGTGGTAAGGGGCCGGTTCGAAGTTGGAACCGTATGAAGCAGCTTTTACGCGCCCAATTCTTACCCACTGACTATGAACAAATTCTCTACATGCGGTATCAGCACTGCGAGCAAGGAAACCGTTCCGTCAGTGAATACACTGAGGAATTCAACAGATTGAGTGCTTGAAACAATCTAAACGAGTCAGCCAACCAATTGGTAGCTCGCTACATTGGAGGCCTCAAGGAGAGCATTCAAGACAAACTCGAATTGAACTCCGTATGGTCGCTGTCTCAGGCCGTGAACTTTGCCATGAAAGCTGAAATGCAGCAAAGCCGCTCTAAATCTACATACAATCGAAGGTTTTGGAATGAATCCCGAACAGTTTCAAACAAGCCTCTTCCCGCAGCGGACAAATCAGCAGCAAACACCGTCCCTGCCGTTCAACAGCATACCCCTGCGGAGACAAATACACAGCCGAAAGTAAAACCGCAAGGTAGAGACAACCCATATGCTAAGCCGTCTAATGTCAAGTGTTTTCGTTGTTTTCAACAGGGTCACAAGTCCAACGAGTGCCCTCAACGAAAACAAGCTAATGTGGCGGAAGCGGGGGAAGGCAGTGGACCAGTTGATATTGATTCTAATAGTGAAGGAGATGTGGAAGATGTGTATGCCGACGATGGAGAACCACTCATTGCAGTACTCGAAAGACTCTTATTGGCTCCCAGACAGAGTTTAAAATCACAAAGACACGCATTATTTCAGACAAGATGTACAATTGCAGGGAAAGTTTGTGAGCTCCTCGTCGATAGCGGGTGTACCGAGAATGTTGTATCACGTTCGGTGGTTCACAACCTACAACTGAAGACGTCTAAGAGAGCCAGTCCATATAAAATAAGTTGGGTAAAGAAAGGTGTGGAAATTACAGTCACGGAATCGTGCCGCCTCAGTTTTTCTATAGGCAAACATTACGTGTGTGAGGTGGTCTGCGACGTCGTCGACATGGACGTCTGTCACCTCATTTTGGGCAGACCTTGGCAGTTCGATGCAGGAGCCCAATACGATTGCCGTGCAAACATTTATACCATTGAGTGGCAGGGCCGTCGCTTACGTCTATTACCTAGTTCGGGTGATAGTCTGAGCGGGACTGGTAATTCAAACTCCAGCACAATGCATATTGTCTCAGGATCACATTTACTGCAATGCTAGAAGGATCCCGTGCCTATGTACGCACTGTTAATTACTGAGAACTCTTCGGTTGTGGACAACAAATCATGGCCAGCTGACATTCTAAAACTTGTCCAACAATATCCTAGTGTCACGCAAGAAGACCTGCCTGCGGAATTACCACCTCTCCGCAACATTCAGCACAGCATTGATTTCGTTCCAGGTTCCAGCTTGCCGAATTTACCACACTTTCGGCTAAATCCAAAAGAGCAGCACATCCTACAAGATTTAGTAGACGCATTACTGGAAAAGCAGCTTATCCAGCCGAGTGTAAGCCCATGCGCCGTCCCGGCATTACTAGTTCCGAAGAAAGACGGTACTTGGCGGATGTGTGTCGATAGTAGAGCTATAGGGGATGGCGTTATATCTTGCTGGCAAGTTCCTCCAAATGAATTTCAGAAAGCGGTTTAGTGAGCTTGGGTTCTGCTCTTGCTGAGATAGATTGGTACTATTTCAAATCTAAAGCATTATGCATTCGCAAGAAAAATTTAGCCATATCAATATTCTGCTTATTGCTAGGATGCATATTTGTCGCCGTAGGTGCTCCCCCTCTGTGCACGCGTAGGTATGATTTTTCGTATGCTCAAACCACCTCACGACGTCTTTCTTTTTCCGGTATTCCGTTCTGCTGAGAGCCTGCAAGGCAAACATTGCAGTTCTGCAATAGTTTTCAATGTGGCTTGGTATAGTTGTCTTTTTCCTTCAAGACAAACAACATACAGTGACGTTGGAACTCTGGTCACTATTAATTATGATCACTAATAGGAATTCATTTTTATATTTCCCTCGAGAAGATCTCCAGTATAGTGACGCATAAGAAATTGCATGACTGTCTTGAAGAGTCCAGCATTCATTTTTGTATTAGAGCATAAAATTCCTTTCACTAAGTTTGCAAACCTTGAAAGAATTGGTCTCAATGTCCATACTTTCAACTACAGATAGCATCAGCAGCAAACTTCTCCATATTTGAAGTCTTTAGGCAGGAAAATGTTATTATTATTATTATTATTTTTTAAGAGCTAGTTTGGTCTTTTCTTGTATTTACTTCTGGTTACAACCTTTGCCAACATAATTGTACTTGAAGTTCGTGTTTCCAACAATCTAGGTAATACATATCTTCAGTATATAGTCTTGGGGAAGAACTCTAATTTGATACAGCATGTAATCAATGCCATCCCTTTAGGTATGATCATTTGTAAGTCATAACGGTGAATTGGCAATCCACAAAAGCATAGTAAGCTTCTTAATTTAATTGGTAATTTAAATGCTCACATCTCTTTCAAATTTTCTTTAGAGATCTTCGTTTTTTTTAAAGTCCACTTAAGTCTAAGAATTTCCGAGAAAATTTCTGCAGCCTCCCGACGTCTAACTCCCCACAAGGAAGAAATCGGATGGCATTTGCCAATTTGTCTTCCCGCCGGACCTAAGGTCGACGGCACGAGGCCTTGAAATTTGAAACCATCTCGATCAGACTTAAAGTCGCCTAACGAGATCTTGAATTTAAATTCTTCCGGACCGGATTTAAAATTGACGGTACGAGACTTGTATTTAAACCATCATTGGTCGGACTTAATAATCAACGGTATGAGACGCTTGAATTTGAACCATCATGACCGACTTAAAGTCGACGACACGAGGTTTTGAATTTGAAATCATCTCGGCGGAATCTAAGATCGAGCGCACGAGGTCTTCTTTTAATTTTGAAGGAGGTAGAAGCAGAAATAAGTATAAAGAAGGTTACAA